ATGTGTGTAATATATATATATATATATGTATATGTATAATATATGTGTAATAATGTGTAATATGATATATATGTAATGTAATATAATGAAATATAAACCTAGCAGACAAGGATTAAATAAATAAATAAATAAATACATAATAAATATGTAATGTAGTAAATAATAAATGTAACGTAATTTATAATAAAATAATGTAATGTAATATAAATATATAATATATAATATAATATAAACTGGAAAGAAGCCATCCTAAGCCTAGTAGGCAAGGATTAAATGAATAAATAAATGAATAATAAATATTGTAATGCAATAAATAATGAAATAATGTAATATATATAACATAAATATATAATATATAATATAATATAAATTGGAGAGAGGCCATCCTAAACCTAGTAGGCAAGGATTAAAAAATGACGGATTAAAAAATGAATAAATAAGTGAATAATAAATAATGTAATGTAATATAAATATATAATATAATATAAACTGGAGAAGGCGTGCTATAAGCCTGGTAGGCAAGGATTAAATAAATGAACGAATAATAGATATAACGCTAAACAGCAATTTACAGAAAATCTGAATACACTGCCACGGGAGAGGGGGAGGGAGCCATAGAAATACTCGAATATTTAAACGAATCATTTTCTGAGCGATCCACTCGCGACACAAAAGTCTCCGCGAAAGTGCACTCGAAATCTTACGATTACCATAATCACTTTGCGTTCAAACGCAAATGCGTGCTTTCATCGATGAATGCTTGAAAAAAAAAACGCCTCGTTCCAGGTACAAGAACGTGGGCCGACGAATTCATAATCTGATTCGTTGACATTGTCGCTTCGACCAATAGTAAAATAAAGTGTGCCTAACGAGCGGTCGGACGATTTCCTTTTCCGTTCGCCTAAGAGTAGGTACGGCTGTTCATACAATTGCGACTGATAGACGTAACAACATCCGCGAAGACGTGTCGGGCAATAAGAACGATAACAGCGTTCGCCGGGGAGTCGACCGTTTGCTTTTTGTTTTTTGTTTTTTTTACTTCATTCACAAACATCGACGTCGCGCCGAAGCCCCGTCATTTTTTTATCCCGAAGGTGGATAAGAAGAAAAAGTAAATACGAGAGCTCGGCCGAGGTTATCGCGCGACAATGAAATAATTGATAATTGGCCGTTGCATGTTACGTTACGATTACTTCACCGTGTTTCGTGCCGATCTTAAAGTGGCCGCGAAAACTCGCTACTTCTCTCTCTCTCTCTCTCTCTCTCTCTCTCTCTCTCTCTCTCTCTCTCTCTCTCTCTGTTGCCACGATAACCCTTCGTTACTTCGGTATCGTGCTCGATTAAAATAAGAGAAACACCGTGCGAAACGGCTCTTTGCGAAATCAATTAAACGTGTAAAATTCAGCGACGGCGGCCATTTGTAATTGTTTAGCTGCGGAGACCGTTTTCCACGATGAAGAGATTCGACGAAGATAGAAATTCCGAGTACAACGATGATGTTATGATAAAAATGGACAGATAAGAGACGTGACAGCGGAGAAGTAAAATAGAATCGAAGCTGCTCGTAAATGACTGGCAGAAATATGAAATTTCGAGGAAATCGGGCGAATCGAAATAACATTGTAGCATCGTTTGCAACTTCGAGAAACTATCGAAAGAAATAATTTATTTTTATTTCTCGTTTCTTACGATCGTCCCGAAACATTTTTATCTTACACAAAGGATCCGCGGTCTAAGGGAATTTTAGAAATCGCCGAAATTATTCGAAGGATCGAGTTTCGAAAGTTACCATTTTTCTACGAGAACCGATTAATTCTCGGGAAACGGCGTCGCCGATTAAAGCTTGACGAAGCTCGACGAAGCGTATGAAATTTTCCTCTGGTCCCTACAGGTGCGACGACAAGGCTCTTCGAGAGCTGACCGACGCGCAGACCGCATAAAATCCTGCATGCGAACCGAATGAGATCTCGATGCACATCCGTGAATTCTTATGGCGAGCAACGGGGATCCAGAGGAGCGAAATAATCGTAAGGAAAGCACAGCTTCGCACTTGGCCGCCGACGAAAATCATCGATCATCACACTCACCCTGTAAAACAACGCAGAACCTCGTGAACACAATCGATTCGGATATTCTACGCCCACTTTCGAGAATGAGACCCGCACATTTGACTCGAAACGAGGAAGAGCGGCCGCGATAATAGCGCATGACGGCCATAACGTGCACGATAAATACTCGATACAGACTAACCAGTCATCCCCACTACGGGCGGACAGAAAAAAAAACTCAACAATCGGAAAGGGTACTCGTCGACGCCAAAATGCACGATTACCATTCCCAATGAATTGCTGCGCCTTGGAATCATGAAATCAACCTCCCACTTTTCCCCAGCTTCTTCTTTTTTGTCTCAATCGCATGCGAGCGACATACGCGACTACCACCGGGGATAGATAGATACCGAACGTCCGCTCGCACTTATCTTCGCAATTAGACAGACAATTACTATATTAATTAGTTCGCTTCTTTTTGTTCGCGACCTTAAAGGAATACGTCGCATTCGAGACAAAAGAAGACATTAGACGTTCGAAGAATTCGAAGAATTCCTTATCCGAATAATTTTTTATTCGAATTAATTTGGAAAGTTCTTTATTTGAATAATTTGCTGTTCGAATAAGTCGAAAAATTCTTTATTTGAATCATTTTCTATTCGAATAATTCGAAAAATTCTTTATTCGAGTAATTTTTTATTCGAATAAGACGAAAAGTTCTTTATTTGAATCATTTTCTATTCGAATAATTCGAAAGATTCTTTATTTGAATAGTTTTTTATTCGAATAACTCGAAAAATTCTTTATTTGAATCATTTTCTATTCGAATAATTCGGAAAATTCTTTACTCGAATAGTTTTTTATTCAAATAAGTCGAAAAATTCTTTATTTGAATCATTTTCTATTCGAATAATTCGAAAAATTCTTTATTCGAGTAATTTTTTATTCGAATAAGACGAAAAGTTCTTTATTTGAATCATTTTCTATTCGAATAATTCGAAAGATTCTTTATTTGAATAGTTTTTTATTCGAATAACTCGAAAAATTCTTTATTTGAATCATTTTCTATCCAAATAATTCGGAAAATTCTTTACTCGAATAGTTTTTCATACGAATAATTCGAAAAATTCTTTACTCGAATAGTTTTTTATTCGAATAATTCGAAAAATTCTTCATTTGGATAATTTTCTCTATTCGAATAATTCGAAAAAGTAATATATAGAAACTATTTGGAAGCAAGGCAGATGTGTCGATCTTAATTGAAAAATCTTAATTGAGAACCAATATTTTAAAACGGTACCTGTGATTTTCTGTTGCATATTCCGATTGTACGCAACAACACATGAAAGTTTTGCCCCAAACATTTGTCTCGAAAGTGCGTGCATCACTCACTGTATATATACACGTCCTATAATAATTAATCGTTTCTAAATTGATAAGTATATTTTGCACAATCGGAGCAAAAGTTAAACATTCAACAGTACTAGAAGCGAAAAATGGATGGATTTTTCAGAAATATGTTAGGCCGAAGTTGACGGACAAGATCCAAGTTTATTCTCTGTACTACTTTGGACCGACGCAGATAGTCAGAGATCGATGACAACATTATCAAATTCAGATACGAGTGTATACCCTCGTGTGTCATGTCGAACTGATATGTTGGCAACAACAAATTCTACTCTCGCCTCTGTGAAATTATCAGTACCGAAAATAACCATGTTTATTGCCAAAGACTAATTTTATTCGTCGCTAATCCATTGTGTTCACTCGTGCTTTTCGTTTTCAGCTTTATTCGGAACAGAATTCCGGGAAAAGCGTCTGAAGAGAACGCGTACACGTTTATCGATTATTTAGAAAACAATCGACAACATTCGAAAACAGATTGATCAATTATTAGAATAATCTGTTGAACGATCTTTTGAATGATCTGCTAAGGAATGTGTCAAATTAATTTTAGAGAACGTACTGCTGGATAAGATAATGTCGGCGAAGATAAAAAAACCCGAGTTTTATCAAGATTAGCGTTAGAATCAAAACATTTCATCGAATCCATATGTTAAATCAAGCATTCGTTGACGAAGTAATATATCTACTAGGCTAATTTTAATCAGTTACACTACTGTAGCGTTTTTTAACGAACTTCTCAACAAAATTGGAACGACGCTGAATGCAAATATACAACAAATAAGAATATAATAATTGAGGTTTCGGTAATCAATTCTTCAATAGTTATAGCAATTTCCTTCGTATAACAGCAAATTAGTAACATAGCGTAACAATATCTTTTCAAATTGTTGCTTCAACGATAAACTTAAACTTAATCATCTAGACACGGCCAAAAGATCCGTGCACGAGCTTCCGTTAAATAAAGCGTTAACATCATTGCGCGCGTTACGAGTTTTCGAAAACTAGAAAAGATGACGCGACAATTTTTGTTACAACGATATAATAATTGAGATTTCGGTAATCAATTCTTCAATAGTTATAGCAATTTCCTTCGTATAACAGCAAATTAGTAACATAGCGTAACAATATCTTTTCAAATTGTTGCTTCAACGATAAACTTAAACTTAATCATCTAGACACGGCCAAAAGATCCGTGCACGAGCTTCCGTTAAATAAAGCGTTAACATTGCGCGCGTTACGAGTTTTCGAAAACTAGAAAAGATGACGCGACAATTTTTGTTACAACGATATAATAATTGAGATTTCGGTAATCAATTCTTCAATAGTTATAGCAATTTCCTTCGTATAACAGCAAATTAGTAACATAGCGTAACAATATCTTTTCAAATTGTTGCTTAAACCATAAACTAAAACTTAATCATCTAGACACGGCCAAAAGATCCGTGCACGAGCTTCCGTTAAATAAAGCGTTAACATCATTGCGCGCGTTACGAGTTTTCGAAAACTAGAAAAGATGACGCGGCAATTTTTGTTACAACGATATAATAATTGAGATTTCGGTAATCAATTCTTCAATAGTTATAGCAATTTCCTTCGTATAACAGCAAATTAGTAACATAGCGTAACAATATCTTTTCAAATTGTTGCTTCAACGATAAACTTAAACTTAATCATCTAGACACGGCCAAAAGATCCGTGCACGAGCTTCCGTTAAATAAAGCGTTAACATTGCGCGCGTTACGAGTTTTCGAAAACTAGAAAAGATGACGCGGCAATTTTTGTTACAACGATATAATAATTGAGATTTCGGTAATCAATTCTTCAATAGTTATAGCAATTTCCTTCGTATAACAGCAAATTAGTAACATAGCGTAACAATATCTTTTCAAATTGTTGCTTCAACGATAAACTTAAACTTAATCATCTAGACACGGCCAAAAGATCCGTGCACGAGCTTCCGTTAAATAAAGCGTTAACATTGCGCGCGTTACGAGTTTTCGAAAACTAGAAAAGATGACGCGGCAATTTTTGTTACAACGATATAATAATTGAGATTTCGGTAATCAATTCTTCAATAGTTATAGCAATTTCCTTCGTATAACAGCAAATTAGTAACATAGCGTAACAATATCTTTTCAAATTGTTGCTTCAACGATAAACTTAAACTTAATCATCTAGACACGGCCAAAAGATCCGTGCACGAGCTTCCGTTAAATAAAGCGTTAACATTGCGCGCGTTACGAGTTTTCGAAAACTAGAAAAGATGACGCGGCAATTTTTGTTACAACGATATAATAATTGAGATTTCGGTAATCAATTCTTCAATAGTTATAGCAATTTCCTTCGTATAACAGCAAATTAGTAACATAGCGTAACAATATCTTTTCAAATTGTTGCTTCAACGATAAACTTAAACTTAATCATCTAGACACGGCCAAAAGATCCGTGCACGAGCTTCCGTTAAATAAAGCGTTAACATCATTGCGCGCGTTACGAGTTTTCGAAAACTAGAAAAGATGACGCGGCAATTTTTGTTGCAACGATGACGCGCGCACGCACACGCATCACGTGTTTCGCACGTAGTAAATATCATTCAAATAAAACGAAGGCCTGGCTTGGCAAATACCGAATTCCCACTAAAATCGTGGCAGCTCGAAGCTGCAGAAAATGTGAACACGATCAGGTCGCAGCATACGTGGTTCTAATAAAGCTTTCGGCAAATAATCTGTACGTGCGTGTAACTTCTATTTCCGTTGCCGATGCAAAGAGCGTTTACTTTGCACGATGTTCCGGGGTTTTAACAATGACGCTCGCGATTATGTTACGGCTAGATCATGGAGTGCAACGACTGCAACGCGTCGTCGCGTCGTCGGATCAGCCGAGGAACAAACGAATGAACGATGAGAAAGCGGAGAGAGCTGCGGGGATATTTGACGGTACGTACCCAAATCTGCTCGAAATATTTCGGGAGGAATGATTTGGCAAAATGGGGTGCCTCCGCCGCCCTCTACGAGCGTTACTCGGCCACTGATTCCCTTATCGCTATTTACGCAGTTGTCGGACGGAAAAAACGCTGGTCGAAAAAACTCGTCGTTTTTAATCGGGGAATTTCGAGTCTTGCTCTGCTCCATTTCGAGCAGCTAATGCATGCGCAACTTTGACGGGGGGCCGACCACGGTCACCTTTAGGTAACAAGAAACGGCCGGCAGAAACGGAGTCATCATCTCGGCGAGTGTTTTACGCTTACCGATCATGGTCGCTTTTAATAACGAAAGGGTTAAATATTGGGTCGACGTATATCAAGTGCAAGATTTTTTAGCGGCTATTGATATTCCCGTGAACTTTGCACGAGTATCGTTCGTTGAGGTAACGTTATCTTCGGTCTGCCGCCTCTCGAAGCCGACGCGTCTCGGATTGAATCTATTATTTCGTGGTGCCGCGTCGACGGTTACACCTCCGGTTTGTTGACGGTCCAATTAGAAAATAAGCTTTTCGAGAATTAATCGAGCGCTGCTGCGCGCCCGCAGAATTTTCTGGGATCGGCGACTCGATCGGATTTATTCCTGAAGCGGCGAATCAATGCTTCGAATAAAATATAATGTTACGCAATGTTGTATATAATGTATATAATGTTGTATACGAAAAAAAATAATTTGGAAGTACCATAAGTTTCCCCTGTCGTTTGGTGCGTTACACCAAGATTGGTACATTGACGAAGATTGGTCGAAGAATGCACAAAAATTATCTTGAGCAACGTCAGCAACTTTTCTGCAGAGTTACAGCGATGATAAAGTAAGAGCGTGTGAAAAGTGAAATGATTATTGCTGACTAACAAAATTCTGACAGAAGCAAATATAAAAGTAGTACAGTCTGAATTACCCTCGAATTATTTGCGATGTCAGCAAATAAGGTTTTTCCATAGAGACGGCTGCGGGAATTGTAATTTAACACGCAAACGATATGCATTATTAATATTTTTAATCGTAAATGTAAAATATTTCATAACTTTGGCAACTCGGGAGTAATGGTAATTTTATTGAAAATTTCAGACGTCGTCTTTTTTACCTTCAAATTTCGGACATCGTTTTCTATCTCTAAATTTCAGTCGTCAACCTTAACACGCCTTAAATCATTTTATCAATTTTCGTAGAAAATGACCGCAACCTCATGACCATTTTAATTACAATTTGTCTTACTTCGTTTATGAAAAGAGCGTTAAAGTTAGTCCCGAATGCAGAGCTCTTAGTGAAATCAATTAAATAAAAAAAAAACAGGCATGTCGTTCTAATAAGTTCATTTTAGACATTGTAGCGCGAACTATGAAACAAATGTGAGTATTCGTACCTGATCTTAATACTGACAATTAACACAAAATGGCGGGACTAATTTCTTCATATGTATGACGTCATCGTGTGTATGACTACAGGCTCGAGATCCTGTTTAATGAAATCTTTACAACAACGTGCTTTGAGAAAAAAAATCCTTTCTTATTATCGAATAATTACGCAACATATTCAAATCGGTTTTCTTATCTTGCAGAAGTGTCAACAAAGACGTTCGCGTAAACCAGACTCAGAGCAGATAAGTATATCACCGTACAATTTCCAAGGAGAGTATTACAATTATCTGGAATAGTTACTTCAAATATAATTGCCAAACAAAATAACACTATACTTACAATACTTACAATACTATCTCTAGAGATAACAATATAATAATAAAATTGTTATCTCTAAGAGAGATAACAATATAATTCCGTCCACTGCGCTCTAATATTTCCTTCATCTCGAAGCTCTTTGAAAATTCAAAAATAGCGCCATTTGTAACAAGTGGCGTCCCTTGCGGCGAAATCTGGAAGCTCCGTTCGGGGTCCGTACAGCGCCAATTAGTGCAGTGGCAAAACGCTCAAACTGTTAGCCAAAATCGACTGTCGGTAATTTGGCTAACAGTTTCAGCTTTTCGCCACTACCCTAATTGGCGCTGTACGAACCTCGAACGAAGCTTCATTTATTCCTCGCAAGAGGCGCTGCTGTCGCTCACATATACAAAATCCGAAAAACATTAATTATTGGCAAATTAGAGCGTAAAACAATAATCTCTGGGCCACGGAATTATAACGATAAAAAAGGCATTAAAAAAAATATTAAAGGCAACGTCTAGGAAGGTGTATAATACGGATCCCAAGTCTGTGGTTATGGTGGCGCCTCTTCTGGACAGAAACTGAAGCTCTAATCGAGGTCCGTACAGCGCCAATTAGTCCAGTGGCAAAACGCTCAAACTGTTAGCCAAATTACCAACAGACGATTTTGGCTAATAGTTTGAGCGTTTTGCCACTGCACTAATTGGCGCTGGACGGACCCCTTAAACCAAGCGCGGGAAATTTGAAATCTTATATAATAAAAATAGATTAATTCGAGAGTTTCTTTGCAATAATATTATTCATATTGTCAGATTATTTCAAACAACTTATAATCTCCAACTTTTGCTGTATTAATAATTGAATACGTTTTCGTTCCATTGCTTTGCCTTGAAATACAATTTGCGATTTATTAAAATAAAGTTAATCTCCTAAATTTGAATCAAAACTGACCCGTAGAAGATATGTTGGAATCGGGTACACCAAATGGTTGGAACTCTACCGTAGTATCAAAATGTGTTTTAATAAATATCAATAAAAAATACATTACACAAAATATCTACAATGATTACAAAGATCAATATAAAATTACATGTCTCTGGACAGCGGCACCATCCCAGACTAAATATACAAGTAGCAACTGTCGTCAACTCTAATCGTATTTGTTAGTAATATCTATTGTAATTAATAAATATTATAATTATACTCTCCTCGTTGGGTCCTCGATAGAAAAATATCCATAACATTTTCCGTCATTTAGTTCTAAGCATCATGCATTTCCGAATAATATAAAGAATAAGTAATTCACTAATATACCATTAAAGAAGAGAGTTACTGTAACTGCGTCGATATTGAATGATTCATTGAAATTCAAGTGTCACATAAACAAGCTTCGATAATTAGATAATAGAGATATGACAAGGCA